AGTTAGTTTTTTAGACTACTAAGATGGTGAGATAGATTCAAGAAAGGTTGAGGGCTACCCAGAGTCAATAAAAATCCTATGCTGATAGGAGGAGGAGACCTCTAGAATTTGAAGAGGGAGAGCATGTGTTTCACGTTTCATAGTTGAGGAACTACATTAGAGACCCGAGTCAAGTGGTAGAGATGGATAAGGTGCAAGTTAGAGAGAACTTGACCTATGAGAAGAGACCGGTAGCTGTGGTTGATCACATGTTGAAGAAGCTTTGAGGCAAGTCCGTCAGCTTGGTGAGGATCGTTTGGGATGCAGCTACTTGTGAGGTTACCTGGGAGGAGGAGAGTCAGTTCAAGGAACAATATTCATTCCTCTTTTCAGGTAGACCTATTTTCGGGGACAAAAATTCTTGTTTGTTGGGGAGTATTGTAACGTTGTTTAAAAAAAACTGATTCAGTAGCCAGAACGGACCGTTCCCAAATTGGAACGGGCCATTCCAAACTACTGAAGGAGAACAGGCCGTTTTGACCACTCCGGAATGTCTATAAATAGGGGTTGGGGGGCCTTCAAGAGAATGAGTTTTTAGAGAGAAGTTTTAGAGAGAAGGTCACTAGATTAGAAAGCTTGCTTTGGGAGGATTGAAGTTCTGGGTTGAGCTTTGGAAGGGAATTCTTTTTCATCACAGTTGTTGGCTATTCTGAGCCAACCTTCAGGTGAGGGATGCTAGAATGTTTGTTGTTTAGGTTGCATGTGAGTTTAGAGACCCAATAGGTGCATGAATGTTGAGAATCCATAGATGGATTGAAGAAAATCTCATTTTTGGGGTTTTGAGAAAAAGGAGGATTTTGATGCATAGGTTGGATGCATGTGAGATTTAAGTTTATTTTAAGTTGTATGGAGCCTATGCATTGTGTTTTGTGTTTGCATGTGGCTGAATTTGTTAGTTTGGATAAGAGTTTTGAACTCTCTGACTGGGATTTAGGCCAGGAGCAAGTTGAGCGCGCTAGGCGTGGAAGAGCTTAGGGCTCTCAGGTTGGATGTTGGGCCAGACGTGATTTGGTTGCGTCAGTCGTGGATACTCTTAGGAGTCTCTGTTTCAAGGACACCGATCGTGAGTTGAACGCACTGGGCGTGGATGAGTCTTAGGACTCTCAGGTTGGGATTAGTGGGCGAGCTCAGGCTATGCCGGGCGTGAATATGTTTATGAATGATTTGATGCTTATGATGGTTAGATCATTTATGATGTATGATGCACTATTGCATGTGATGTCTTATGACATGTGTATGATTGTTGATCATGATGGTGGACAGACCATGTATGATGTATGACGCATAATTGCATGTGATGCCTTATGGCATGAGTCTAGCCTAGGACTTGAGGAGAGGAAAAATATTTTTGAACTAGAAGAGCTCACATAGAGTCTCTTGAGAGTGGTGCTTGGATAGGCCACTGATATATGAGAGTGGGGCTCAGGGAGGCCACTGGATTTGGGAGAGTGGTGCTCAGGGAGGCCACTGGATTTGGGAGAGTGGTGCTCAGATAGGCCACTGGGTTGGGTGAGTCTCCTCTAAGTCCTTAGCTAGTGTTGGAGCGGGGTATGAGGTCGAGGGTTATTCCCTTAACCAAGTACTCGGGAAGGTGCGTGGATCCTTGCGGATAGTCGGTGGGCGAACTCCACAATTGACTTGGTTAATGCATGCCAAGGTCGTGGTAAGCCCGTACCCAGCTGTGCTATACCTGACGGTGGATCTGGACTTCCAAGTGTGTAAGTGACATCATCCGAGTAAACCCGAGTGAGGATTATATCCTGTTTAGCTGTGACCGAGCGGGCGCATTGGGCGTGAAAACGGTTGGGGTGGTTTCGGTAGGATGGAATGTCACTTATACAGCTCTATTGTTATGGAGATCTCCTAGGTGTATGCGTGACGACGCATTAGATGATTGATATGCATTGATATCTGTCATGAGATGCATTTATTGCATGATTATTAATATGATGAAGTGTGGTGTTTGACTTCATGATTGGTGGATTGTATTTTATGCATGAGTAGTATTGGATAGAGTGTTTGGTGTGACTCTATGAATATGATTGATAGTTGGAAAATTATGTAGTATAGATTATTGTTCAATACTTGTATGATTGATTTGTGAATTCTAGCTTACCCTTCTGTTTCCATGTGGTGGAACTGCGATGATCATACTTGGTATGGGGGCAGGTCAGGGCTAGGTTGGAGTTGAGGTGACCGCTGCGAGACAAGGAGTTTGATCCTCGTGCTAGGGTTACCATTTTGGGTAACAGTTTTGTTTGTGCTTGACCGACACTAGGAAATATTATTTTTGGGATTATTGTACATATATGGCCTTCTATTTTGTATTTTAAAAAAAATTTAGTTATTTTATTCTTATCTATACCTGTATGTATGAGTTATCCAACTTAATATTTCTCTTAGTTCACTAGTAGTAGTGCGATTCCACTAAGTGTAGGGACCACGACGGGTCGTTACACTTTTATGGTATCAGAGCCGGTCGATTCTTTTGGGATACTCTGTGAGGAGTGATCCTTCTAGGTTTCTGTTGTGTCATATCTCTGATATGTGTTAGTGGTTATGGAGATCTCCTAGGTGTATGCGTGACGACGCATTAGATGATTGATATGCATTGATATTTGTCATGAGATGCATTTATTGCATGATTATTAATATGATGAAGTGTGGTGTTTGACTTCATGATTGGTGGATTGTATCTTATGCATGAGTAGTATTGGATAGAGTGTTTGGTGTGACTCTATGAATATGATTGATAGTTGGAAAATTATGTAGTATAGATTATTGTTCAATACTTGTATGATTGATTTGTGAATTCTAGCTTACCCTTCTGTTTCCATGTGGTGGAACTGCGATGATCATACTTGGTATGGGGGCAGGTCAGGGCTAGGTTGGAGTTGAGGTGACCGCTGCGAGACAAGGAGTTTGATCCTCGTGCTAGGGTTACCATTTTGGGTAACAGTTTTGTTTGTGCTTGACCGACACTAGGAAATATTATTTTTGGGATTATTGTACATATATGGCCTTCTATTTTGTATTTTAAAAAAAATTTAGTTATTTTATTCTTATCTATACCTGTATGTATGAGTTATCCAACTTAATATTTCTCTTAGTTCACTAGTAGTAGTGCGATTCCACTAAGTGTAGGGACCACGACGGGTCGTTACACTTTTATGGTATCAGAGCCGGTCGATTCTTTTGGGATACTCTGTGAGGAGTGATCCTTCTAGGTTTCTGTTGTGTCATATCTCTGATATGTGTTAGTGTTGGGGAGTTGTAGTGGTGAAGTGTTTGTAAAAGAATGTTTGAATTCTTTTAGTATGGTGAGGCCTCAGTTTGATCAGATCGCTAGGGCTATGGAGATGATGGCCATGGTGATGCGGCAGCGGTGGATTGTATCTTATGCATGAGTAGTATTGGATAGAGTGTTTGGTGTGACTCTATGAATATGATTGATAGTTGGAAAATTATGTAGTATAGATTATTGTTCAATACTTGTATGATTGATTTGTGAATTCTAGCTTACCCTTCTGTTTCCATGTGGTGGAACTGCGATGATCATACTTGGTATGGGGGCAGGTCAGGGCTAGGTTGGAGTTGAGGTGACCGCTGCGAGACAAGGAGTTTGATCCTCGTGCTAGGGTTACCATTTTGGGTAACAGTTTTGTTTGTGCTTGACCGACACTAGGAAATATTATTTTTGGGATTATTGTACATATATGTTTGAGGTGACCGCTGCGAGACAGGGACTTTGATCCTCGTGCTAGGGTTACCATTTTGGGTAACAGTTTTGTCTGTGCTTGACTGGTAATAGGAAATATTATTTTTGGGATGACCGTACATATATGGCGTTCTATTTTGTATTTAAAAAAAAATTAGTTATTTTATTCTTATCTATACCTGTATGTAGGAGTTATTCAACTTAATATTTCTCTTAGTTCACTAGTAGTAATGCGATTCCACTAAGTGTAGGGACCACGGCGGGTCGTTACAAACCTTGGGGATAACTTGCTTTGAAAGTCCTAGTCTTGTCCTCGTGAGCATGAGATATCTTGCAAGACTTAATTATCCCGATCTGATCCTGGTAATATGTCTTTCTAGTGAGAGTGCGCAGAAGGTGTGACCTGACATGTACTCCTAAATTACTCTAATGTGTCACTAGAAGCAATGCGCAAGTGTGATGTTTTTATCGGTATCACATGTATGATAACATGTAGTTTGTGTCCATTACATAGGCATTATAATTATATCTGTTATTCTGTTATGGATGAGCTATGTATGATGATGATGTGTAATTGTGTATGTTATATCATATTATATGTGTTGTTTGTGTTTGACTAACTGGTTTGCATTCCTACACCATGAGTCAGAGGGAGGTATTTCTCACTCCCTTTTCTTTTGTGTTGCCTTCTTGTGATTTTTGCAAATAATCATTAGCATGGTGTTAACAATGTCGGTGATGAGACTTAGTTCTCAATATTGGATTTTACTTTGGTAGGACATGTGATATCGGGAAATTAGTTAGGACTAGTTAGGATTTGATCCATGTTACTTAATTTAAGTAGTTTAATTTTTAATTCTTTTGTAATTTTTTACTTTTTCCATGTCTATTTTCTGTTAACAAAGTAATCCTCTACCTGTGTAAATTTTGAGTCTATTTATTATATTTGAGGTTATTCAGTTTTATATTATATTATGTGTTATGCAATGCAAGGTAGAGCGTGTCACAGTATGAACAAAAAAAGTAATATAATACAGAAACCAAAAACATATTTAAAAAAAATTATAACTTCAATTTTGCTAAATTAGCGTTGTGTTTTGTACTTAAGCTAGAAATTGGAAGTGAGCAAAAAACTAACAACTTTATTTGTTAAAACAGGGAAACAAAATTAGCCGATTTTTCTTTTGAAAGATAATTTTGATACCAAAATCCTTAAACGATAAATAGTCTTTAAGAAAATTACCTTCCAAATAAAAATATAGAAGGATGCTATGGATGCTTTGCTTTTCAAATCTACAGATTTGGCCTTGTACCAGAGGAGTGAAGCAAGAGCAGCATGTCCGAAACCCTAAAATATTATCTCCAAATAAAGTTAAAGTATGGTTGGAAGGTTTAAACAAGTTTATACTAACTTATGTCAACATGTGAAACAATAGACAAATGCTTTCTCTTGAAACAATAGACATGTCATAAGTTGAAAATATTAAATAAAAACAGAATCTACAACACTCCAATAATCTTAGTATATACAAAGAGGTTCAAAGGGGAAAGAAATTGTGTGCACTTTCTATTATTTTTCCAACTTACATTTGGGAACCTTAGCTTAGAGCATTTACTTTATTTTTTTTCCTTATATTTTCTTATTAAAAATATAGTCTAACTTGTTGGATAGTAATTTTTCTTATAAGAATCATTAGTTAAAATATTTTCTTCTAGAAATAGGAATAAAATTGTATTAATATTGATGTGTCACAAAAGATTAAAAAAAAAGCTCTATTATATTAATACATTTTTTTTTCTTATTAAATAAAAAATAATTCATGATATATGATAAAAAGAAAATTAATCCTTTGAGATACTAATATAAGATTATTTAAATTATTTAAGATACAACTAAGATATTGTAAGACATTAGTTATATATTCTAGAACCCTCGCTAATCGAAATCACATTTCCATTCTCAAGTGCATAACAAATATTTCTTTATGGTAAATGTGATAGAAATAACTTCTTAAGTGGAATAAGGATATAACACCTATAATTGCAACCTATACTTGTCATAAGTATTTTACCGTTATGATTTTTATCCAAAGGTGAGAAGAAGATGTTGCTCCTGCTAGTAGTGCAACTCCAAAAGGGATTTCAAGAAGGGAAATCGAAATCCAAAATGCCTAATAATGATTAGTTAGTAACAATTAATCAAAGGACAAATAAGAAAGGATAACCAATTCTATTAAGATATTGAAATTTATAAAGCTTACCCGCTTCAAACCTATACGTGTTGGAAGAGAATTGATGCCATATGTTTTATCTCCTTCAATGTCAGGTATATCCTAGGCAAAACAAATAAAATTTTTATATTTGGTACATGTGTATATTGAAGCAAAAGTTTGATGTTGGAAACAAAAATATTCTCAAAGAAACTAAATGTATATTTACCTTGTACAAAGCCATACCTACAAAGTAGAAGCTAATGAATACAACAACAAAAACCAATGATCTTGGAAAGACAACTGGCTTCTTGAACACAAAAGTCTGGACAACGTTATATGAATTAGTATTAGTAATATATAAATAATAATAATAATAAAAAAATTCTTTTCACGTTTCTTGTTTTAATTCATAAACTTAATTTCTCACTTACAACTCATGATGATTCTAATTAGTGTTTGCAAATAGTTAATCATGAATCTAACAAAACCAACAATTAAATCTTGCTAGAAGGTTTAGTGATTATTGTTGTGTGCATAAAAGTTGATACATGATCATCCAAAGCTAGAGATCTTTAAAAATCACAATTATTTATAGAACATAACCTGCATATGAAGGAAAAATGCGATAGGACAAACAAATGCCCAAGTAACAAACATGCACATTGCCGCAAGTAGTGGATATTTCTTCCATCTCAATAAGGGCACCTGAAAAGCTTTAAAGCACTACTATCACCATCAAACAATTTTTTCAAAATGTATGTTAGAAATTTTCATGTATATTAATCTAATAACTTAGTTTAAATTTCAATAATGAATTTTAACATGTAAATAATTTTTTTCCAAGGAGTTTTAAATAGTTTATAATAAAATATCTTACTTGGATATCAAATATAAGTTTTTCATTTATAAATATTAAGTATTTTTATAAGACAATATTTTTAACTCAAAATAAATTATATGAATTTCCCCTCTTTTAAAGTGTACTTTGAAATGTCTAGTCTGAGAAACATTATAGGTGATTGAGAAAACTAGTTAAGATGTTGGTGCAGATCCATAGATGGGATATGTAACACTCTAGTTTTTTGAAAATAGATAACATTAATAAAACTATGTTTTCGAGGAATAATTGAAAGAGTTTTATTAAATTAGAAAGAATTTTTGGAAATAATAATATATGTTTTTGGAAATAATTAAATGTGTTTTTATTAAATTAAGAAAGAGTTGAGAAAATATATTATGTTATATATATGTTATGTTATTATGGGCTATGTGTATTTACTAGTTATGGAAGGTTGTGTGAAAATATAGTCATGTAATTATGTTTGTACGGTCCAGGTCGGATTCCGACCTGCCTACTACGTATGTCAGGCCGACTGTAGCTCTCACCGATATGTCAGGCCGACTGTAACTCTCACCGATATGTCAGGCCGACTGTAGCTCTCGCCGATATGCCAGGCCGACTGTAGCTCTCATCGATATGCCAGGCCGACTGTAGCTCTCGCCGATATGTCAGGCCGACTGTAGCTCTCGCCGATCACCCCTCTAAGAGTGGTTCGGTTATTATTCGACTTGGTTTCTCTACTTAACCTGGTCGGTATATTTCCGATTCCTTTCGCTTACAAGAACCAACTCGGCCAATACCCGACTGTACCCTCAGTACGGGTATGGTCGGTCGGGGGCTGACACAACTCTCGCATACAGGGACTACCCGATAGCAAGGGCAAGGTCCCACTGTCCCTCACCAAATATTAACCAGATCAAAACGGTTAAGGAAATTCCTACATTCTCGGGGCCCATAAAGCCCGTAAACAAGAAACTATAAAAGAAAAAACCCTAGAGTTGAGAAGGCAGATTACACTTTTGAATGCTCTGGCTTTGAGGTCTGACCTAGGAAAAAACCCTAGTGCACCTCGTGGCCGGAACATTTTGGCGCCCACCGTGGGGCTACGGTGAAACTTTTCCTACGCCCCAAGTAACACAGGAGAACCCGCACTTTACCATGGCGAGAGGTGGCACATCCAACAACGACTCACAACACCTTACCATGGAGGAGATGATGGCATTGATCAACGGATTGAGGGAGGAGAATGGAGGAAGATGTCATGATGGAAGTCCCCAGGGATTTTTGACCTTTTTCAGAGGCCATAGAGGCCGAGACCATCCCGAGGGATCATCGGATTCCCCAAGTCGAACCTTTTGATGGAACTCAGGATCCCAGTCAGCACTTGACGAATTTCCGCTCTCAAATGTTGATTTGTGGAGGAAGTATGGAAGTCTGCTGCAAATTATTCATGGGTACACTCAAAAAAGTAGCACTGGATTGGTTTAGTGGTCTCCCTGACCGATCAATCTGTTAGATATGCGAAGGAGGCTGGAACTGCAGTAGGGGAGCATGTATGTTCCATATTATGCTATGAGGTTCGAGCATCTGGGTCGTTTCTACTCTTAGGGGGTACCTGAGGCTTGGAGATGTAGAAAGTTTGCAGAGAGGACCCTAAGACAGGCATGTTCAGTCTTAGAGGAGTGTTGTTAGTAAGGGACCTCGTCCTGCTACTCGTCAAGGTGGAGCACAGTCAGTGCAGTGTTACAGATGTGGAGAAACCCACATGGTTAGAGATTGTTCACATTTGGGGAAATGTTTTTTCAGATGTGGCAGGCTAGGCCACCTTTTCAGAGATTGTGAAATGCCACCGACTCAATCTGGAGTGCCCCGAGGCTAGTCAGGCCTACGGTTGAGGGAGAGTAATTTTCTTTATCAGGTGTAAAGGCTTCCACTTCATCAAATTTGGTGAAAAGGGAGGGGAAGGCAGCAGGTGAGGATGTTTTTTTCCTGTTTGATTTCGGTGCCACACTTTTATTTTTTTCTGTTGATTGTGTGGGGAGATTAGGTTGTCAGTGTTTGCATGGCACGCTGATTTGTATGTATTTAATCTGGCTTCAAATTTTTGGTGACATCGGAGATGTGTGTGAGATGCCCGATAGAGGTGTTTGGTAAGAGGTTTCAAGTGAACCTGATTGTGTTGCTCATGGTGGATATCGACATAATCTTAGGGATGGATTGGTTATCTGCCCATCACATCCTTATAGATTGTGCTCAAGAGAGTTGGTATTTCCTTAGTTGTAGGATGAGGTGTTGTTTTAAGCGGGTCAGGCTGAGTAGTTGATGAGAGATGGAGCTGAGTGCTTCATGTTGTTTGTCACCTTGAATGTTGAGACGGAGAGGGCCATCACTGGGATTGAGAGTTTTACTGAGTTTCTTGAGGTGTTTCCAGATGATGTGCCGGGATTGTCACCTATGCGTGATGTTGTGTTTAGCATTGATCTGGTACTGGATGCAAGACCAATATCATTGGCTTCTTATACGATGGTTCAAGATGAGTTGGTAGAGCTGAAGAAACAGATGGTGAGGTCCAATGTTTCTACTTGGGGTGCCCTGGTATTGTTAGTAGAGAAAGATGGTGGGGCCCGTTTGCTTGTTGATTATCGGCAACTAAATAAGTTGACGATAAGGAATAAGTATCCACTTTCAAGGATTGATGATTTGATGGATCAGCTGAGGGGAGATTCGGTGTTTTTGATGATTGATTTGAGATTTGGATACCATCAGATCAGGGTAAAGGAGAGTGACATACCGAAGACTACTTTCAGGACTAGGTATGGTCGTTGTGAGTACGTAGTGATGCGTTTCGGTGTCACTAATTCTCCAACAGTGTTCATGGATTACATGAATAGGATTTTCAGGTCATTCTTGGACAGGTTTGTGGTGGTCTTCATTGATGATATATTGGTGTATTCTAGATCTTTGGAGGATCACCGTGAGCATCTGAGGTTGGTTTTAGAGGTGCTGAGGGAGAGGTAGTTGTATGCCAAGCTGTCCAAGTGTGACTAGGCCACCTTTTCAGAGATTGTGAAATGCCACCGACTCAATCTGGAGTGCCCCGAGGCTAGTCAGGCCTACGGTTGAGGGAGAGTAATTTTCTTTATCAGGTGTAAAGGCTTCCACTTCATCAAATTTGGTGAAAAGGGAGGGGAAGGCAGCAGGTGAGGATGTTTTTTTCCTGTTTGATTTCGGTGCCACACTTTTATTTTTTTCTGTTGATTGTGTGGGGAGATTAGGTTGTCAGTGTTTGCATGGCACGCTGATTTGTATGTATTTAATCTGGCTTCAAATTTTTGGTGACATCGGAGATGTGTGTGAGATGCCCGATAGAGGTGTTTGGTAAGAGGTTTCAAGTGAACCTGATTGTGTTGCTCATGGTGGATATCGACATAATCTTAGGGATGGATTGGTTATCTGCCCATCACATCCTTATAGATTGTGCTCAAGAGAGTTGGTATTTCCTTAGTTGTAGGATGAGGTGTTGTTTTAAGCGGGTCAGGCTGAGTAGTTGATGAGAGATGGAGCTGAGTGCTTCATGTTGTTTGTCACCTTGAATGTTGAGACGGAGAGGGCCATCACTGGGATTGAGAGTTTTACTGAGTTTCTTGAGGTGTTTCCAGATGATGTGCCGGGATTGTCACCTATGCGTGATGTTGTGTTTAGCATTGATCTGGTACTGGATGCAAGACCAATATCATTGGCTTCTTATACGATGGTTCAAGATGAGTTGGTAGAGCTGAAGAAACAGATGGTGAGGTCCAATGTTTCTACTTGGGGTGCCCTGGTATTGTTAGTAGAGAAAGATGGTGGGGCCCGTTTGCTTGTTGATTATCGGCAACTAAATAAGTTGACGATAAGGAATAAGTATCCACTTTCAAGGATTGATGATTTGATGGATCAGCTGAGGGGAGATTCGGTGTTTTTGATGATTGATTTGAGATTTGGATACCATCAGATCAGGGTAAAGGAGAGTGACATACCGAAGACTACTTTCAGGACTAGGTATGGTCGTTGTGAGTACGTAGTGATGCGTTTCGGTGTCACTAATTCTCCAACAGTGTTCATGGATTACATGAATAGGATTTTCAGGTCATTCTTGGACAGGTTTGTGGTGGTCTTCATTGATGATATATTGGTGTATTCTAGATCTTTGGAGGATCACCGTGAGCATCTGAGGTTGGTTTTAGAGGTGCTGAGGGAGAGGTAGTTGTATGCCAAGCTGTCCAAGTGTGAGTTTTGATTGTCTGAGGTGGGATTTGGGGCATGTGATATCGGCAGAGGGGATTTTAGTGGATCCAGTCAAGGTGGAGGCTGTGATTAAGTGGGAGCGTCCAAGGACTGTTACGGAGATTAGGAGTTTTGTTGGGTTAACGACTTACTATCATAGATTCATATAGGGTTTCTCTCGAATAGTAATGCCTTTGACTTAACTAACTCGGAAGGATTAGCTTTTTGTTTGGATGAACGCTTGTGAGCAGAGTTTTCAAGAATTGAAGGGGTGATTGACTATTTCTCTAGTTTTGGTGTTACCTGACACTGGTGAGTATTTTGATGTGTTCTATGATGCTTCTCACCAGGGGTTGGGTTGTGTGTTGATGCAGGAAGGGAGATTAGTAGGGTATGCTTCGAGGCAACTTAAGACTCATGAAAGGAATTATCCTACTCATGATTTGGAGCTTGCAACTGTGGTGTTTGCTTTGAAGTCATGGAGGCGTTATTTGTATGGTGCGAGATTCAGTGTATTTAGTGATCAGAAGGAGTTGAATATGAGGTAGAGAAGGTGGATGGAATTCCTAAAGGACTTTGATTTCCAGTTGATGTATCA